GGCTCGCCGCCGCCTCGACCCGTGCGGCACCCCCCTCTCCAGCCTTCAGCAGCGTCAGGAGGGGAGGCGCCCACCCCCGCGTTGCCCTCCGCTCGGCCCAAGGCAAAGCCCTGCTGGGCGGCTCGGAGGGGGTCTCCTTCCTGCCAGAGGGCGCGAAAGCAAGACGAAGGGGCGCGATCCCTTTCCCGGGCGACGCTTCCCGCACAAAACAGGCCTGTGGCCCAGAGGCGCCTCCGCCGTCAGCTGCTGTCTTCCTCGGGCGCCGGAGCCCAGGACCGCGGGAGCGGAAGCGACAGAGCCCCCCAGGTGGGAGGAAAGCAAACGGAGTGGCCGGCCGGGACAGGAGAGTCCCGCTGGGCAGGACCCCCGGCGCGCCCCTCCCCAGCTTAGGAGCTGGCGAATGAACCCCGTCCGAGCGGGCGAGAGCCCCGGCCCCGCAGACCCAGGAAAGGATACGAAAATGAAGTCGTCCAGGTACCGCTTCTTGAGGTTCTCCACGATGGCGTCTTCTGAGATCTTGGAAAGGAGGACCATGTCGTCCACGCCGCTGTGCTTGACATTGTGGCTTTGCCAGTGATAGCGATAATGGCCCTTGCTCCCCTGCGCGAGGAGAAGACAGAGGGACCAAGTTAGTAATTCAGGAGGGCAGCGGCGGGTCACGCCCGGCATCCTTTCCCCACAACTTGTGTATTGACACGGAAAGACGGGCCCGAGAATGGGGATCTGAGAGAGGGGGAAAACAGCATTACCAGTAACAATTGTACAAGGAAAAGAAAGAGCAACTGCATTGTTTAACATAAAATCGTGAAATAAACAAATGCTGCAAGATAAATTGAGAGCTGAAAGGGACCTGAGAAGTCCTGTAGTCCAACTATCTGCTCAGCTCAGAGCTCCTCAGAACGTCTTTTTGAGGTGATCATCCAGCCTCTTCGAAGGCCTCCAGCAAGGGAGACCTCACTCCTGAACTTGCTCTAACCCGATGGTTCTAGTCTGGGCCGAGAGAGAACAAGTCTACTCGTTCTTCCAGATATTTGAAGCCTGCTCTTCTATCTCCCCTCCATCTCTTCTGTAAGCTAAACATACCCAGACCCCGCGTAGGGCTTGGTTTCCAGACCTCTCGCCATCCTCCGTGAGCCCTCCCCTGAACAAACAACATAAATCGTTGGATAGTCCTTCAAATACCACCCAGGTTTCTGAGAAATAAAAGTGACAAGGGACTGGTGGACAAGGAAGGTACGTGAGCTAAATGACCGGCTTGATTTTGCCTTCTCCTGACCGAGGGCCCCAAGCGGGAGAAGGCGTCGTAGCCAGCCAAGACAGAAGGGCTTCTGGTGCAGATGCCTACAGAGAGGAACCCTTCCACGTGTCAAGAAGCATTTTGAACTGGGAGTGGAAACAAACTGGAAGAGATCAGATTTTGTTAGAACATGGTTCTGTCTAAAGAAACACACATTTGATGATGGGGAAAGCATTAAAAAGTCGTTTTAGATTGTTCCAAACTATCAGGCCTTTTAAAAAAAATAAATTTAAAATGTATATGATGCTGGTATGTTTAACTTTCCCATGATTTCTGACAGACAGTGACAAGGATGCTTATGTCTTGTATAAGCAACAAAAACATACAATTCCTTATAATTATTTGCTACTTTTCATTGCCAAGCAACGGATTTTATCAGAAACTTTTTCAAGCAATGCTATGGACCAGATCTTATCATGCCATCTATCCATTAAGATAGTGTCTAGTGATTTCCATTGTTTAGCAGTAATTAATTTGGCTAAAAGTAGAAATCTGACGAGTTTTTTACTTTGCAGTTTTTCATTTGGACAACCAGACATATGTAATGAACCTAACTTTGGAGAAAACTCAACCTTCCATATTAGTTAAATATGAAAACGTTCTTCCCAAAATCTAAAGTGTATCAGATTCCCATCAAAGATGACTGTTCCCTTCAGTTTGCCAACAATTCACTGAATGTTTTCAAGAAATATGTGAGATTCTCATTGGCGTCTGATGCCACCCGTGTAAGAGCTAAAGATGTACTTCCTACCTGGAGGCCAATAAGAGTTCCCCCTGCTTCCAGAGAGGCTGCCAGGTATTCTCCTCTAAGGGTTTTCCTAAATCTAGATCCCAAGCAGGTTAGATTCACCAAAATCTATTTAAAAATAAGGCTGATATATTTTTAAAATTAAATTCAAAATATACTTTCAAAATTAGATGTCTGTTCCCCATCTCCATCATTGTTTAATGTCCTAATACAGAACTGAATTGATCTGATACCATAAAAGCCACAATACTTCATGTTCAAATTGTGCAGCTTATTCTAGATTGGAAACTTGACTTTTATAAAATTCCTTTGCTCTGCAAATGCCTTTGTTCCCCATGATTTCAATTGTATGATTCTGTCTTGATTCGTATCAATAGAACTGAGGAAAAGATGCCTGTGGAAGTCTGATTTTTTTTCCTCCACATTCAACAGAATAATTTCCACCTCAACCCATTATTTTGTTGGACCATTATGAAAGGAATAATTCCTAGCTCAGCTGCTTGGTAGTACATTAAACCACATATGGCCCATCCTTCTTTGTTTTGAGGTAAGTAATTTTTTTTATTCTATTGTACATGGATTTAAAGCAAAATAATAAAATGTATTTTTGCCAATTAGTAAGGATTCAGACTAGAAAATACTGCCTTTTTAAGATATTTCTGGCAATTTAACTGTAAATCAATATTATTGACTACGGAATCAGTGCAACAATCTCTGTTTCCTTAATTATTTTTTTTCAAAGAAAAGAATGTACTGTAAAAGATTCCTCTGATAATATGGCAAAGCAATGAAAGAAGTAACAAGAGGGAAATGTTTTAGAGGAGTATAATTAAAAAGGAAAGCTCATATTTATCAGACAAGTATTCAAAGGTTTGTAAACAGCTAGAATTGAAGAGAAAAGAATTAGATATTCTAAAGATCAACAAAATTTCAACACAGCTTCAACATTCAAAGAAAACATGTTTGATAATAAGATTATTATATTTTTAGCATAAAAGTTAAAAAAAATAGGGATAAGGAATTTATAAAATCAATAGACGACCTTAAAAATCTGCTAACACTTGTCAACACCACATTTGCAGGATTCTTTGAAGAATTATGTACATCTAAAAATCCAGCATCCCTTAAGAATTATTTGATAAACTAGAATTACAAGATATTCAATACCAAGATTCATCATTTACCAAATCAGAATTAACAGCAGTCTTCCAGAATTTAAAAAA